ATAATGTGACGGTAAATCCCACTATTCGTTAGTAAAAGTATCCAAAGAATTGGCGGTGGGTGGTTTTGACTAGCTTCTTCCCTTCTATTCAGTAATTGATAAATTAGAGATGGCTAGCGCAGATAGCCCTTGAGTAGTTTTGCGTGAAATTCAAAACAAACAAACGAAATCGTTAGAATAACTTGTAGCTTCTTCAGTCATGTCTCGTATTCTGTTTATGTTCAGTTTCAACTTTTATACTGGTATAATCAAAGACATGCCTATTGATATCTGTCTGCCTACTGGAATCCATGGATAAACAGATAACAAATATCGATTGTAAAAGTAAGCACCTGGAACGATATCCAAGTATCAAGTACTTTTCATTCTGTATTACACCGTCTGTGCAGTTGGCATATAGATTAAGTATATGTGCAAGTTAAGACTAAAACTTCACTTTACATTAGAGGACTATTTTTATATAAGATTAGCCCAAAAGTGGTGGATCAATCTATGTAGTCAAAGGACATTTGTGTGATTTCGGTTTCTAATAAATCCTATTCATGAAAACATCCATTGATTTTAAGATGTAGCTGATGAGTCTTCATGATCTCCAAATCCTTGTTTATTTTGGGATATGTCATTTTGTGTGTGTGTGTGTGTAGTGAGGGTTAGAGGGTTCTCTTTCGAAACCATAGCTCTCTCTTTACAGATGAAAGCATTGAAATTGGCTCATGTCATGGTTTGTTATTCCGAATGTTTTCATTGTTCAAATATTTCTGCCTTCATGGAGAATGTGGAAGGCTGCCTCCTTCGAAATGCTGTGATATTTTGGCTGTGCATCTTCTAATAATATCGCTGTGTTGATATACTTCTTAGACATGCGCTGTGAAACCACTTTAGCTAAAAGCCTAATTATCGCGGCATTGTACTGTTGAATGATTAGAAATTCGTCGTGAACCAAATTTGTAGATATTAAACATTTCACTTGTGGCGCCACGTCTCGCATAATCGGCGACACACGTACTACATTATCCGATTTCTAAAATGTGATTAACTGTCTGTATTAATTACAGTGGAAATGATCCCATTTCTGTTGTACAACATCTGTGAACATCGACTTCACCACTCAGAAATGTTTGATTTTTTGCTGAATTTGCTTTCTTACGTTTGAGATGTTTTTGAGAAAGCTTACGTTTATACAGTTCCGGTTGTATTACACTCGTTCTTACACGTGAAGGTGTTGTAAGTAATTAATGTTTTAAATATTACATTTTCTCTCAAACGGATAATCTTTAAACTGCGACTTAATTATGTTTTAGTTATTTTCTTAGATAATGTACTTCATCTTTTAAAAAATACATTTTATTGTTAGGGTCCTGATCCTATATACCAGATAATGTAGAACTTAAGCTGCCTTCAGATATTTTCTTTTTCAGTAAACGTGAACCCAACAGCTTTATATATATATATATGTAGATTAAATTCGTATAAATGACTTTTGTATATGTCCTGTCAAGAATAAACATCGCATTGCTGCACGGTTTGTATATCAGATCAAATGGAGCACCACCTCCACTAAACGTTGCATTTACATTTTTTTTCTTTTGTAATTTATAGCAAAAATCAGTGACGCCTCATGAAATCGGCTTTTATTTTTTAATCCTTCGTTTTTATTTTATTTTATGAAGATATGTTGGAGTAGTCACTAGCTGTATGGGGGAGAAAGGGATTTTTCGCTAAGATCTGAAGACGATTATTGTTATCAGTATTTTGCATTAATGTAAAAAAAAAAAATCCCTTTATCCTCCTGGTGCGCTTTAAGAGTCAGGGTGTTATCTGTAAAATCTTATAATTGTATATTTTTTAGCCACTATTGCTACGTAGATATTTAATTTCATGATGCTTTTTTAAAACAGGAATCGAATTATTTTCGGTTCAAGGAAATGAGATACTGTACGAAATAGAATATGTCGTCATGGTAACATGTCATTAATGCTTTGATATTTGAAAATTGACATGGAAGGGTGCTTACTCATTTTATGGGTGATAAAGTAAGAGCGAGAATACGTTACGCCGTTAGCAATTTTTTTTATAGATTCATACCTAGCTAATTCAACCATTTTATTTTACTTTTATCATTTTGAAAACTGTCTTCCTTCATGTTTTATATCATATTTTTTGATAGAATGTTTTTAAACCAGTGTATACTTACATTTTCTTCAAGTTCTAACTTAATGGAAAAGTGAGATAAAAAAGTTTCCTCAGCCTCGGGCCTAGCATGACCCGGTGGTTAGAGTACTGGATCTATAATTTGTGGGTCGCGAGTTCGAATAGAGTATCCCAAGAGTTTGTAGTTGGTGGTGTTGACCAGCTGCCTTCCCCTTGTTAGTCAACTATTCGAAAGCGCTCGAGTTTTGGGCTTTATTTTAAGTCTATTACACTTTATATGTGATCCTTTGTGCTGACTCTTTTATCAAAATAAATAAATATTTCATCTAGTCTATCACTTTTAAATTAGGAACGACTAGCGCAGATAGCTCTCGACTAGTTCTGCGCAAAATTAACAAGAAAACAAGAACCTCCTCCCTCTTTCCCCCCCACACACATACAAAGCTTGTAGAACCAATTCAATTGTTAGTTTCAGAATTGAGAGTATAGGAAATGAAGAGAGTTTGTCCAGCATATTTTAAATAGTTGAAAGAACAGCAGGCAGTTCTGATGCTGCTTATTCAGAATCTCGCGCTAGAAAGGTTTCCTGTACATTGGTTTCACATTTTAAGGACATAATTATAATGAAGTATCGTATTTGGTACATGTCGAAAGCTCTAATGATTCGATTTCCTGAAAACGTGTTACCGCTCTTGATGTCTACAGATTGTTTAGTGTTGTTACCAGTTGCGGAGTATGGTGCAAACCTTGGCTGCCCTTCATCTTCAGGTTTCTTAATACAAGCTGTTTGTCGTGTTTAGTAGCCTTTACGATCACCCAAGAATAATTATTAATTAGTAACTTTTTATAACTTTACCAATTAATAATTAAGACTGTCGTACTATAAGGTTTGTTGTTTAGCTCATAGCTACACAATGGGCTGTTTATGCTTTACCCACCGCAGGTATTGAAACCCGATTTTTAGCGTTATAAATAATCGGACTTACCGCTTAGCTACCAAAGTGCTTAGAATATCAAGTTACTAACTGATAATTAACTTTAGGTGATGGGTGTAGTCTACTAGCCAAGTAACCTTGACAACGATAAATATCGGCCCGTTATAGCTAGGTGGTTAGGGCGCTCGACTCGCAATCTGAGGGTTCGAATCCCCGTCACACCAAACATGCTCACCCTTTCAGCCTGGGGGCGTTATAATGTGACGGTCAATCCCACTATTCGTTGGTAAAGGAGTTG